TAGTCTATGAGAGCTTAGTTAAGGAACTTACCTTAATCTCTTAACGTTTTATTAATTATAAAAAATGGCTTTCAAACAAAGTCTTTCATTATTGTTTAAAAGAAATTTTAGTATAAAACTTTATTTCCTTTCTTACATATTATTTACAAACTTATTATATTTCACATAACAAAAAACTTGCAACGAATCACGTGACTCGACAAACCTCTAGTTTTAACCTAATATAAAGGCAATTAAATCAAAAAATGAGTCAAAAGCTCCGCCAGAGAAAAGGAGACGAAACATTACTAAAAAGTTACTCGAAGAAAAAAATTTTCCTGATAACTCAAGATGATGAAGAAGACTGTCCATGCGTATATTGCAATGATCTTTTTTCCCAATCTAAGCCTGGAGAAGACTGGTTACGGTGCATAAATTGTTTCCGTTGGACTCACGCTTCTTGCGCTGACGTTTCTAAAAGAGCCAAGCGTTTCATTTGTAAACTTTGTCAGTAATTTTATAGTTTTTACGTGTATGTCATTTTGTCCATAGTGGATGATCTCGATTAAACTAACAATATTTTTTTCCCTATTATTTTAATATTGTAAATGTTTAGTATATTTCATAGGTAAAAAACCAAAGATGATTGGTGTAGAATATGACAGTGCTGTGATTTACCAATAAAGAGTTACGAACCTAAAATAAAACCGTATGTCATTTTGTCTGTATTTCCCCTATAATCCGCAGTCGCTCAACTCAAACCATCAGATTATCCATCGGATATTTTTTGTATTTCTTTAACGTGAATTTATTTTTTGCTCTAGAGACGAACTACGTGGAAAACTTTCGTCGTTTAAATTCCTTGTGTGAAATTTCGGCATTATCTTTACTTTACGTTATCGTATAGGAAAGGTCTACCTTTCTGCCTCTGTGTTCCAGGAATAAAAATATCTCGAATAAAGCAAAGAAGCAAAGCAAATTTCAGAATACTATTTCGTTCAAGAATTTGAATTTCACATCTCTAAAGAGAAATGTAATAAAAAAAAAAGTGGCACGTACGGAACATTTTCCAAAAACCGCGACCATACAACATCCCGGATGCAAATCGAACGACAACGTTACATCCCGATAAATGTTCACTCGAGCAAAACAGCCTGTCAGAAGTGGGGTTCGAACCCACGCCCTCACACGAGGACCAGATCTTAAGTCTGGCGCCTTAGACCACTCGGCCATTCTGACGAGATGTAGCAATTCCCTAATCGCACAATTATCAAATCGAAAAGCAATCGTTATCAATCCGGTCTACCAGTTTCGCAAATCATCAGCCATTACAGGTGTGCAGAAATAAAATTAGTTTTACATAAAAGTGACTTGTAACAAAATTGCACCGAGGGCCTGAAAGGAACATAATCCTGTCCGGAATTAACTACTGAGACTTTGGTGACATTTCTCCTTTGATTTTTTCAAGTCTGTATTTTGCCTCGAATAAAATAAATTTTTCACAATGACAGACAACTCGTCACTCATTGAAAATCTTTTGAAATTCTCAATCGATGATGCTTATTTTTTACGTGTCATTCGAATGCAAATTATTATTGTCGTTGAAATAATTATAATTTTATTTCTGCACATCTGTAATGGCTGATGATTTCAGCTGCGGAAGAAAAACGTGTTGTGTGTTTTAAGTACATTCTAGAGGGTATGATGATTCGGGATAAATGTTACACAGAAGCTTATTCCCGTCGCTTCTGTAAAAAACTTTATAAGAAGCGAAATTGCAGACGAATTTCATAAACCGTCGGCTTAGCAATTCTCAACTCGAGATGAAACGCACGCACGTTCGATGAAAAACCGAACGATTCGTTACTATCGACGACTAACATGCGATGAAAGATGAAAAGTTAGTTGCGAAATGTCCAGTCGATGACGGCAGTTAGAATGGCATTTCTTCCGAAAGCAGAGAGGTGTAACGAAAATGCGAAACTCGTAGACAAGATTGATAACGATTGCTTTTCGATTTGATAAT